GGCCGGGTGCACGATCAGACGGCCCATCGAGGTCCTGTCGAGGTCCCGTGTTTAGGGGGGAGGTGCCACTCACATGACCATCCTGCAGCATGGGAAAGAAGCGGTGCAGCGGGATCACACCAGCAATCGCTAGGCACTGCTTCCGTGGCAAATGGGATAGATATTTTTAAAAACTGACGTTTGTACATACGCATGACTGAGCAATCATATCTGCACATCTGAAGGTGGGTGGTGGGCTTACCGGAGAGGGCGACAGACGCTTCCGGACCCCAACAGAGCTCCGAGGCATAGCTAATGGAGGGGGAGGTGGGCCCCCTCATCACAGCTGCTCTAACAGCCTGTGTGACAGTGGCCATAGCGACCCTCCAGAGGCGGCAAGCCTGGCTGCAGTGGGAGCTCTTTGTGTGCATGTGCCGTTGGGCACTTGTGCGCATCCTGTGGAGACTTGGGGGAAAAAACCTGTTCATGACGGGATATGGGCGGGCGCTGGATGCCATGGGATTCCACCGGAAACGCGATCAGGCGCCTGCCCTTGCCCCTCGGAGGTACTAGTTTTTTACCCCGCATCTTCGGCAGGAAGCCTCGGGTTCGGCACGGGAGCTCTACGCTTCCCAGATGTGCTGGTGTGATCGACCCGGAAAATCCACCTATCTTCCGTCTCTCTAGCGTGGCTAATGTTCCATGTGACCGCAGCCAAGGTTAATCTATTTTGCTGTTTTCTTTCCTCTGTGCTTCTTATCAATGTCCAATTTAATTTTTAGCTGTTTAGGGGCAGCAGACCCTAATTCTGCTTAAGGGTCCGGAGACTCTGCCAAGCTACTCGAGGAGGTATCAGAACTTTCTCCAACTTTATCTTCTTCATCATCTTCATCTTTGTTGTCCTCCACTTTCTCAGGTCCATCTGTCACTTTCTGTTGTTGCTTCAGGAACATTTTCACTTTATGAACAGAATCAATCTTTTCTTTTTTGCCATTGAAGATAAGACCTTCAGGTGTTATCCATCTGTAAGGAGTGGTATTTTTTTGCAGAAACAATGCTAAATCTCTGTATTGTCTCCTTTTTCTAATTTCAAATGGAACATCTTTTAAAACTTCAATTTGTTCTCCTTTGATTTTCAAGACATTTTGGTTAGTCACATTCAAAATTATATCCCTTGTGGACCTTTTTGAGAATTTCACGTATACTTCCCCAGGTAGCTTTTTATATATATGTACGGTAAACCAGATCGATATTGCTTTGTAGAGTTTCCACTGTTAAGCCTACCATAGGGGGGGCACATTTCTTAGGTTGTGTTGCACTGTATGCTTCACCACAGATGTAGCATCACAGGATTATACAAACAATGAGGTTGGTGGTAGGATAGTCATATCTTAAGGGTTGAACTTTCTTCAAAGCTTCTAATCACCTTTTTAGGGTCCCCAGGGGATGTCAATAAATCTCAGGGTGGGGAGTCAGAGCCTGTGGAAAGAAAATGTTATCATTTCCTCAGGACTGCTCACTTCACACTTCTCCCTCTCTCTGAAATTGTCACACAGCATTTTATCCCAGCTTGTTGTTCCAGTCTCATTATCTTTCCATTTTATTTTTTTGTGTGTGCAGGAGAGCGGCAGAGAGATAGAGACTGATAAAGCCAACTTCTATTTTGGCAGACACACAGGAAAGAGATGTATGATCCTCAGCTGGGACAATTGCTACCAGGAGAGTTAAAAATCACTGATGTCCATCAAGCTCTTAAAAGTCCCATCTGTGATTTCTCAAGCTCTGCCACCTGAGCTCCTCGACATCAGAGAGTCATCATGCCGATGGCAAAACCAGAAATATTATTGAGTGCATGTCAGGTTGCCGTGTCTAATGAGCCCTTAGTAAATAAGTCACAATTTGGGAAGCATGAAACAGGTCTGATCAGGTCAGCCTCATTTCTTCACACTGTTCCAGATTGTCGGTCAAAGCATGCAGTGGATGTCTACCACCTTTGGTGTAGTTTGGTGTAGTGGTTAAGTGTGCGGACTCTAATCTGGGAGAATCGGGTTTGATTCCCCACTCCTCCACTTGCACCTGGCTGGATGACCTTGGGCAAGCCGTAGTTCTGGCACAGCTGTTCTTGAGAAAGAGCAGTTTCTGTCAAGAGCTCTCTCAGCCCCACCTACCTCACAGGGTGTCTGTTGTGGGGAGGGGAAGGGAAAGAAGTTTGTAAGCCGCTCTGAGACACCTTTGGGTAGTGAAGGACGGGGTATAAATCCAATCTCTTCTTCTTCTCTGGCCAGCATTGCTTGGCATATTTGGACTCAAAAGGCCAAATCCACGACAGTTGCCATTGAATTTCACCCAAAGCCGTAAAACCAGTTTTTCATGGGGCTCCAATGAACCCATAAAGCTGTGCATAACAGAGGCTGCCTTGGGCATCCTTGCAAAATACTGGAACCCAACCAAGGAAGAGAAGCACGGTAGAGCACATTGATGTGTGCTCTGTTCCAAGCCACAGCTCTAACTAGCGGAATGCTAAGATTAATGCAACTTTACCATTTTGATGCAGTGTATGTACGATCACAAGAAAGCATGGAACAATGATGGCTGTTGCAAATGCGTTATCTGGGAAATGGGGATTACACATTAGGGATGTCATTTTGTACATTTTGGATGGGCCTCTGCCCTCCACCCTCACCTCTGGGGCCAGCAGGGGTCAGAAAAGCTGTTGGACTTCATGCAGAAATTATGTATCGACAAAAACCTGGGCAAGATGTTAGCAAGTCAACTGACATTCTAGAGACTTTATGAGTGATATAAAGTACAATCATAGAGCAACAACATAATGTGCTGGATTTTGCCTGAACATGACATTGGCATGCAACTCAACATCATGCCCACTCTCCTCCTCACCCACAAAGATTCCAAGGGTGTCACACAACAACCTTCCATTCCTATTTCAGATGCACCTCGCTGAACATTGTTTAGTGAATTCAAGTCTGTGTAAGCGTAGAGAGGTGGTATGATTTTTAGAATCATAGAGTTGGAAGGGGACCTCCAGGGTCCTCCAAGCCCCTGCACAATGCAGGAAATTCACAAATACCTTCCCCCACACAAACCTCCAGTGACCCCTGTCCCATGTCCAGCAGATGACAAAAAGACAAAAAAAAACCAAAAAACCCTTCCAGGATCTCCAGACAAACTGGCCTAAAGAAAAATTGCTTCCTGACCTCAAAGTGGGGATCAGCATTTCCCTGGGCGTGTAAGAAAGGGCCACAAGGACTAAGCACTGATGCAACCCGTCCTGCCCTTCCGCTCAGGATCTGCCTAAATTTACAGAATCAGCATTGCTGTCAGATGGCCATCTAGTCTCTGCTTCAAAAACTCCAAAGAAAGAGAGCCCACCACATCCCCAGGAAGTCTGTTCCACTGTGGTACCACTCTAACTGTCAGGATGTTCTTCCTAATATTTAGCCAAAAAAACTATTTTGATTTAATTTCAACCCG